GTCCTGGAGAAACTTCGAGAAAAAAAGAAAGCGAAGCGTTTTTTAAAAAAAAAAAACAAAAGATATCATCTCGGCAGAACAAAGTAAAACACGAAAAGGAGTTTACCTCGCGAGAGTCTCATTCTCGGTGGCCAGCTCAACATCGTCAGAATCCACCAAAACAAGTGGATCCCGGGAGTCGTCCTCCTTCTCTTCGCAGAAGAGCTCGCAAGAGCATCCGAATTCGTTGATGGAGCCACCCTCCTCTTCTTTCGGCCAGCCCCTTCGGGCTTTGGCTGCGAAGGCCTTTTAGCGGCTGAAAGACAAACGTGCCAATAAGACCTCGTCGCCAACAAACATACTAATCAAAAAATACTTTGATCGACTAACGCACCTGCTTTTGAAAGACCAGCTTTCTTCTTCGCCGGCTTCTTTTTCTCCTTAGCGGCCCCCTTTTTCTCCTTCTCGGACCATAACTGCTGGCTCAGGTCGCGCAGTTTCATGACATCAACGTCAAAACCGAACGGGTCATCTCCAAGACGTATTGCCACTACCATAGCAAAAAAACAGGGGGGGGGGGAACGCATCAGCATCTGGGAAATTAACCAGAGAAAATTAAAATAAAAATCAGTTCATCTTACATGGCGTCGACCTCTAGGTCCTGAATAAATTAAGATCGGAACTACCAATGGACGTCTCGTTAATCTTCACATAGAAGAAAAACCGGTCCCATTCGTGGACTTTACTTGTCGGGTTCCCACCGATAATTCCCTCCTTCATTGAAGTATAAAAATGGTGCCACCCACCGCGGTTTAACCTCCCTTTCTTCAGAATAGATATCCTCTCAAATATATCCCAGTTGAAAGGAACCATCGCGGTACGAGCTACCGCCGCCAGACTGTTGAAATGGCGGATTACAGCGTGAGAGAGCTGCGCCACTGGCATCTTCCTCCGTTCGCAGTAACAAAGAAGCAGCAAAATGGGGAACTGAAGGCTGAAGTCCGCGAAGTGGCATTCATAAATACAAAAATAGCCCTCCGGTGGCGTGGTTACTCTCTCATGGACCTGGGGCAGTAGAAGCTCGACTCCCTTAGGAAAATGACATTTTGAGCGAAGCTCCTGGAGCCTTTCCGCAGTCATCCAGGTCCTTCTGTCTTTAATACCGGTCATGTGCTTTGACATTGCGATCTTCTGCGAAAGACCTTCGATCCTAGTTTCTGGTTCGAAGCCCTCGAAATTATCTGATTCCATCTCATAATCTATGTCGGGATGACCCGGCGGGATCTCATCTCGGTAATCCGAGCATTCTCTAGAATTAGAAGAAGAAGAAGCCACTGGGCTAATCCAGGCCCGCCTGGCATGATCGGCGAGACAAATCTCGTCGTCATTAAAAGAAGAGTTCAGAGACGAAGTCGACATTTTAGAAAATTTCTTGGTATATTATGAAAACGAATGGAAGATCGGCGAATAAGAAAGGAGGATTATCGCGAAAACAGGAGAAAGTTGAAAATTTCTGAAGCAAGAAAACAAAGATTTTGTGGAGCAAGAAGACGAAGAGATAAAAAAATAAGTAATAAAATCAGAAGGAAATATCAACAATTTTCTAAAAGGACGCATGTCAAGATTCACACAATCTCGCTGCTTGGCAAACCCTTTGCCTTTCCCGCTTGAAAGCAAAACCCTAAATTGGTCGGAACATTTAATAATTAATTCCAAGGAAGCGCCACGTGTCATTTCAACTTAAAATCGGGCCGAGCTGGCCATCGCAAAGAAACACTCTTGACGGGCTGACGCTTAATGCAAGATCGAACCCATTTAAAATTTCATGAAGTCCGCCGACCTGACTTATAACCAGTCTCGCCGAACTGGGGGAGGGAGGACTTACTGTTAGCAGGGGCCGGCTTACTGGGGGGGACAATCGGTGCAACCGCCCCAGGTCCACTTCCCAAATCAAGCAAAATTAGGATAATAATGGGGCCCAAATTTGTGTGTTTCATCAATTATTAGGGGCCCAAATTTGTGTTTTTATCAATGAAAGTGCCCTAAATTTTTTTTTTTGCCCAGAGGCCATTAAAAGTATTGAGCCGGCCCTGTTAGAAGGGAAATGAGCATATTTCCTAAAAAACTTTCTCTAGCAGTAACCTAAGCCCATCAAGATCAGGAGGATTGCACCGACCTAGCTCGGATAAAAGGAAAACTCTTAAGGATAACCTTCGAGGCCCGGAAACATCGGATCAACTCGAGAGATAAAGGAGAATTTCCAATTTTTTCGGAGAATAAGAGATATTTCCATATTGTAAATATGGAAATATTCACCAAAGGCAAAAAAGAAAAGGAGTTCGGAGCAACCGACCTCCTATCCTTATAAATAAGAAGACCATGAAGCCAAAAAAAACAACTCATACAATCTAGAGAGCAGCAAAGCTAAAACCAGAGAATCCAATGCTTTCTAGTTTACCTAACAACTATCTTATTTCATCTCGGCATAACCTTTAGGTTATCCCATTTTTTATAATCACTTCGCTTGTTGCTATTAATAAAAAAAATTACTTTTCGAAACCCACAACAGTTAATCAAAACCTTAATATTGATTTTTTGGTTCAACATTTAGAATCCTTTTTTTATTGGGTTGAGGTACAAATCTCTTTATTCAACAACAAGCATATAAAGAGAACGATTATATAGAAATGCCGTAGCTCAGAGAATACGGCAATGGCTTTTCCGGCGACGGTTCTCTTCTTTGTATTCAGTAGTGCTACTGCGCTTTGTCGTCATGCTCCTCTTCCGTCTTCTCCTAAAGTCCCACACACATTATCAATTGAAGAAATACGAAGGAAACTAATTAATTATAATAATGGTAACCAAATAAGATTCGACAATAATAAATGAAAAGAAGAGAATAAATAAGAAAGACCAACAAACACTAGAAGACGAACATATTTAGCTTTAAATTAAACAATTGAGTGGTTATCACAAAAAAGTTCATAAGGTTAGGAGATTCTCACTTCATCTGTCTGTCTTTCGCTGCTTACCATCCCTAAAAATGATTTTATTCTCCTAAACATATCTAGCTTAAAGTTAAACAACTGAGTTTTTCTCTTTTACGTCCAAATCAGAATACAGTAAAAACTTTATAAATTAATAATATTAGAACTTTAAAAATTTATTAACTTATAGAGTTATTAATTTATCGATAAATTAATATTTTATTAATTTATAGAAAGATATTTCAATTTAAATTTAAAATATTTGTCAAAAAAACAAAAAAAAAATATTTTCAACAATATAAAATTTATTCAAAAAATATCATATCAGTGAATTTAAAAAATAAGTCAAACAATTTTTATAAACTTGAAACAGAAATATAATTATATTTTACTATATTATATTATTTTTATATGCTTAAATATATAATTATTAATTTATCTAATTATTTGGACTATATTTTTATATGAAAAATTTTTAAAAAAAATATTATCTTATTATCTTATTAAAATTTACTAATTTTTACACTAACCCGACTTGAAACCGACAAAAATTATTAATTTATAATAATTATTAATTTATCGAGTATTAATTTATAAAGGTTTTATTGTATGTGCAAGTACACTTTTTGTTTGTTTTGCTTTTCTTTTTTTTGTATTTCCTAAATTATCATTGTGACCTGTATGTAATATGAAAAATGAATTTGAGTTAATGCCAACAATCCTCTAAAATTTGACAAACATAATATTGTTTAGTTCTAAAATAAAGAAAACTACTATGGAGATATATTCAATCTTTAATAAATTTTAGTTCTAAAACAAAGAAACTATAAGGAAATATTCAATCTGTAATTTCAAACGATATTCAATCCAAATTATCTTAAAAGTTATTAAAAAAAAAATTGTAACTTTCTAGTAACTTTTATCATTAAATTCAAACCACATTCCTCGTAACTTTTAAAAATAGTATTTTGAAATTTCAATTAGAAAGAATAAAATATTTGTTTTCAATAATTTCTAAAAATCAACTACTTTAGTTTGAAACTGCAAAATTAATAAAACAGATAAACTGAAAACTTAATAAACTCAAAATATTAATCATGTGTATTTAGTATATACCATTCAATACCTTTTACACATCGAAATGTGTAAGTTTTTTACCACACCTCGCATGATCTTAAAGCAAATATCAAGAGATAGCTTTTACAATTGGTAGTTCACAAAGAAAACACAGTTTTTAAACCTTTTCCAAACAAATAAATAAAGCCGTAGTAACAAATAGATCACTTCATAAACATAAAATTATTGGAAAAAAGAATTGATCGAAAGAGGAACAAACAAAGATACAAATATATGATGATGAACAGTCAAATTTAGAATGAAAGCAAAATCAGTTCAATGGAAACAGCATAAAGATATTTTTCTTTGTTCAAACAATAAAAATGGAGAGAGAGATTGAGTTGTTTCCTCACTTTGCCATCATCACTTTGACAAACTCTTCATAATTGATTTGACCATCTCCATCAACATCAGCTTCTTTGATCATCTCGTCAACTTCTTCATCAGTAAGCTTCTCACCCAAATTGGTCATCACATGTCTCAACTCTGCAGCTGAAATGAAACCGTTCTGGTCTTTATCGAAAACCCTGAAAGCTTCTTTGAGTTCTTCCTCCGAATCCGTGTCCTTCATCTTCCGAGCCATCAGATTCAGAAACTCAGGAAAATCTATTGTTCCGTTTCCATCAGCATCTACTTCGTTAATCATATCTTGAAGCTCTGCTTCTGTTGGATTCTGACCTAGTGACCGCATCACTGTACCAAGCTCTTTTGTGGTGATGCAACCTGCAAATAAATTTCAACACCGAATCTTCAAATTTTCATTCGCGACTGTAAACTTCAATTGAACCTAAGATTTGTTACCTAAGAAAGCTAATGAAAAAACTAAAATTATGTTTCGGTTGTAGAGATATCAATATCATCGAGATAGATCCAAACTGCGACCATAAATTACAAAATGATTGAGATATCACATAGTTATTACGCAAATCGAAGCCGAATCTCCCATGCTATCGAAGATTCCACATTAAATAAAAGCATCAGGTTCTTAAGTAATTCAAGCAAAACGAGAAGAAGAAAGCATCGATAGAAGAAGAAAAAAAATGAAGAGGAAGAAAGATCTGAGAGAATCGAACCATCTCCGTCTTTGTCGAATAGACTGAAAGCTTCCTTGAACTCGGAGATCTGATCATCGGTAAGCTGATCGGCCATTTTCGTGAAGGATTTGAGCGAGAGAAAGAGAAAAATCAACGTTGGTGTGTAATGCGATGAATGTGTTGAGAGGACGAAGTCTGAATTATAAAGCAAGTGAAAAGAGAAAGAAAAGTCCATTAGGCCCAATAAAAATATTTCTCGCATCCGATTCTCTTAAATTTTGATTCTTCTTTTTCCTCCAGTGGGCCTTTTCTGTTTAAGATGCAATATAAATTCCTTAGTTTAGTTGTTTTGCCGACAACAATTATACTACCATATATAACGAATTAGGAGAGTAGAAAGTAAAAAAGATGATCAAGTGGGAGCTGTGTTGCGTTTGAACCTAAAAAAGTAATCTTTATACCACAAGGACTAATAATCTGAGCGAGAGTTAAGCAATTGAGAAATGGACTATATATGAAATTTTGGACAAGTAGAACATTAAGAAATCCATTAGTAATGTTAACAATAAGTCCAATCCGTTTTAAGTTTTATACATGTTTAAGAAAGTTCAAAACTAATCACTATTCACTAAAGGAGTGTATCAAAACTGAAATTTTAAAAGACTGTGTGGTTATTTAAAATTCGATATCATTCAATTAATCAATACAACAATAACACAAAAGTATCTCCATGTCTTGACACTTTAGCTTTTTAAACTTACTAAAAACTGACACATCAGCAAAATCAACAATCAATCAAAACATTTTAATACACATTATCTACTAAATTTTATTATTTTTTAATTTAAATCCATTAAAAACCCAAATATTTTTTTTGTTAATCTTTGTTTTATTTTTTGCCAAACCCAAGCCCAAATAATAAATAACAGTAAATAAAAAAAATTATATCTTTATTTTATTTTTTGTCAAACACAAACTCAAATAATAAATAACAATAAATAAAAAATTATTTTATTTTTGCCTAACCGAAGCTCAAATAATAAATACCAGCAAATTAGAAAAATAAAAATTTGTGGATATATAAACTTCGATTAAACAACAAACTTATTACAACCGTTCGTTGATGCACTATAACGTCTTATGATTCAGATATATCTTAACATAAACTTGAAACAACAGAGCTTGGTTCTATATGTAAAAAAGTTTCGAATCGTCTTGTTATTGTTGTAAAACAGAGCTGAAAGGTATGCCGTGGAGATGATAGCTAAGTTAGTACATGAGCATGCGAGGAAGCAGTGTTTTTAGCTTGGTTTGTAATTTCCTCAAAAGACTCTAAATATAGCACGAACAAATCACCATTTTTATAAATTGCATCTCTCTATCTTTCACGGTATCCACAAATCTTATATGTATATTTTGTTTGTTGTATGAGTAAAAAAAAAGAGAGAGTGAGTATTGTGGTTGGTTTATAATGTAATAGCCATCAAAGTATTTTTAATCAATAGATTTGTATTTGTGCTTTTGAATCTTTCTTTCCTTAATCTATAGTACCAATCTCCGTAAAATCATGAAAGCATTGCTTACTATAGCAAATTCGCTAAAAATATAAACTGAACTAAACTGAAAAATAAATCTATGAGAATGATCAAGAAAAATAAGTGTGGGCTTTTTCTAACCAAACCAAGTTTTGGATTGGGCTCGTGTGAGGCTTCTTGTGTAGTCGGCGTCGTGGATCTTTTGAGGTGTTAAGTCTACATTGTTTTAGGATTTGGTTTCTCTCCACACCCAATTTGAAATTTTATTGAAATAGTTACAAATCCAAAAACACAAAAAATAATTAAATAATTATTGTTATCAAATTTCTTTTTTTAAGTTTCAACTGGTTATTATTCATAAGCCTTTGTAAGGCAAACATACAACTGTGATTTTCAGGTGGAAACTGAACCAATTTATAGTGTCTTAGTTAAGGTTTCTATTGGATTTAGTTCGCTAGGTTAGTTCGACAAAAACTGTTAAAAAATAACATAAAATAAATAACATAAGAATCATTAAAACACTTAAAATTAATAATGCAGTAAAGAACTCTAATGAAGAAGATACTTACCCAATTAACAAAGTCTCAAGAGACTAAAAGATGCATAGTCATCACAAGAGATGAGAGATGCATAATCTCACTATATCTCTTCCTCCAATTGTGTCACTTGACAAATTCATGTCACTCATAGTTTCAAAATCTTCATTTAACTCTTTCACTTCAGATGTTGGAAAATGATCATTGTTTCGTATAATAATGAAGGAGAAATAATTTTGATTTAAGAAAGGGTTTTTTTTTATTCAAAAGAAAGAGATATCAAGATACTCAAAAAGAGAAGTTTTAGCGTGTTATAGTTGGCGTCTTTATTCTCTTTCAGATTCATTTATACTATAATTGTCGATAGTCTTCCATGATATAAGTTTAGTATGTGTAAGATTAATATTTTATATTATACGATTTAAATAACATAGCAGCTCACAAATGAGACAAAGTAAAGATAAACCCTAAGCTGATAACATTTAAATGTGAGGACTATATAAATATGCCAAACATCCATGAATATGTCTTGAGTGAACAATGGTTATTTCTTTTTGTTATAAAACAGATTAACATAAAGTTTTTTTATTAATGAAAAATAAATTTATAAAATAAATAAAAGTTTGTTTTAAAGAATAGTTTTATTGTGAATTTTTACGTTTAAGGTATTTTCTGTTAAAAATGAATATATATGAGAATTAATTTTAATCTTGACCTTTTATATCCACAACTTAGATATGGTTTTACATCATCCAAGTGTCTATTAGTGTTTTAATTCGACTTCAACTCACCATTACAACCATTTATGTCCCTTTGAACACAACAAAACATCTAATACAAATATTTTTCTAAGAAAACTTACATTTGCACAAAATAATAAATGATGTGGCATAAATTAATGTTAAATGGTTTTACTATTAAGCTTCAAAACTTTAAAGTTCAAAATACTATTCTAAATAAATATTTTTGTATTTGCATGTTCACAAAGTCTATAATCAAGAAGTGGTAGATCATTTGATACTTTGAACATGTTTTGGACAAAAACAATAAGATGGGTGAGCGATTATTTTTTAAGTTAAAAAAATATGAAACTATGATGAAATTAAGTAGGATGTCATTTGAGTGAATTTTTATATCAATTTAGAGGGTCAGTTTAAGACAGTAAGGATAATACCATGAATTAGGCTCTTGGTGAGAGGAGATTCGGTTAGGTGCAGTAATTATTACAGTTGAAGAATTGCACATAAGCACGTTCCACCATATGTGTTGCCTTACATCTATCTCTGGTAAAAATTAGATAAACAGTGACTATGACATAAAATGTAACTAAAACAGAATTTCATTAACAGATTTATATATTTATTAAAATATGCATAATATTAATTTTAATGTATTTTTATTTTATCAAAATATAGCATTAAATCAATAAAAAGATAATTAAAAAATAATCTGCATAAATAAATCAATTTTTGTTTTCATGGTACTTTTATAATATACAAAATGTCAATATTACTTTGTTTTTTTTTCAGATCAAATAATATATTTTAAACAATTATTTCAATATAAATATTAATCATATAAATAAAACGTTTAAATTAACTTTCCGTTATGTAGCGCGGATATATACCTAGTGATTTCTAAAAGTCTTACCAAAATCTATATTATTAAACATGAAATTTTTATAAAATCAATTAAAATCACTTAAACTTTTATATTATTCAATCTAGAATTTGTAAAAACAAAATCAACTTCACGGTTATTGGAAATATTTTAGGGACAATTTTAAAACTACAATTTTCACGCTACCATTTTTCAAATTTACTACTAGAAGGTGAATATTTTGAGATATATAATTATTTTATAAAGTAAAAGACAGTTATACCTTAAATCAAAAACTCTCTTTTTCATCGTCTTCCTCGTCGACTACAGCAGCAAAAAGCCCTAAATCTTATCTAACGAAAACCCAGGGGACGAAGAACCTCTTCTCAAATCGATCCTTGACTCGATCCTTTTCAGCTGGTAAGATCGATTAGTCTTTATAGTTTCTTAGATTCTTTGTTTGTAAATTCAAAATTTCTGACTTTCTTTTCACTTTACGGTTATCAAATTCTGGGTTTATGTTCTAAATTGGTATAGATTCGGATTTTTGATATCTTGCACATTCCAGTTGCTAAAAATCAATGGCGAGGCTCGTCGGATCTGTTCAAGTTCGATGACAGAAGCTCTAATTTGTTCAATTGCTTCTTAAACGATTACGAATAAGTTTATAGAATCATATCAGTGAGAGAATTTTGGCTTGAGATTGAGGTGATAAAAGATTCAGGAATATCCTTTTACCCAAGCCACAATAATCACCGGTAAATGTTTCAGAGTAGCTCTCACATTTTTTTTATCGGAAATGGTTTTCGGCAACCGTATTGGTGTCGTGTTGTTTTAAGTGTTTGATTGAAAAGTTTTTTTGGTTGTTGTTTCTCTGTTGTTGCAATCAAAGTAACATATCAAAGGATAGGTTCAAATACACATAATTCGATTGGTATATGAACTATTAAGAAATTGCTTTTGTAAGTTGTAGATGAAGATCGAGTGATTTATTTTGGCTTTAGTCTACATCTTATGTACCAGTAAAATGGAGGTCGTTTCTCCACTTTTTGTGCTTACTTTGGCATTGTTTCCTTGTAGATTTTAACTCTGCTACAGCGGCTTTCACCAATCAAGTTACTTTCATAAGATGTGAAATGTTATCAGTAAGTTTGAATCTTGGAAAACATCTTACATGTTCTGTTTTGTGGTTTAGATATTCTCTAGAATCTAGGATTTGAGTAACACAGTTCATTATTGTGTTTTGTGGTTTGTATAATACAAACCTTTCTTGTGAGATCTCTTACGCCTACAAATCTACGTGTTGAACTAAAGCGCTAGTGAGTACATATTTTTACTAAGGAGTTACTGGAACTAAAGTGGTAGTGGATGATGTTATGACTTGTATTTAATTTGATGTTGCAGTATCTTCCAAGTACGTCTGAAGGAAGATTTTAAATAGTTATATTTATTAGGATTTGGACATAAGATTTTGTAAACTAGCATACGAGTGTAAAGAGATTGCTTTACATGGTACCATTGTTGCAATTCTGGAGTCAAAGTTGAATATCAAAGAAGATTCTAAAGAAGATGAGGGAAACTGAATCAGTCTTACATCATTGTTTGTGAAGTTCTTAGGTATCTTATGTACAGTAATTATTCCAAATTGGGCATTGTATTTGAATTTTTATGTACCTTCTTCACTGTTCTTACATTTTATACAGTTTATAAAAAATTTACAAATTTTTAAAAAGTTTTATAGTGCTTTATAAACTCTTATAAAATAAATTTTATAAATTCGTATTAGTGCATTTAGCAATGTTTTAAAAAGTTTTATAATGCTTTATAAATTCGTATGAAATGAATTTTAAAATTTTTTAATCTTTTTAAAGGATTTTGCAGACATCCAGACTCTTACTAGGGATGTGTAACCATCAGACCACACAACCATTTGTTCATCATGCAAAATGTATTTCTAAATATCCACGAATGTAACATTGTTTTTGTTAAAATCCAAGCCCAAACACGAGCCTAGAAAATCCAAGAAAATTTTGTAGATGCTATTTTATATCAATAATGTTGAAGCTTAATTATGTTTATATAAGATGATGAATTATTTTTTTTTAAAAAGATTTATAATGTTTTAAAAAGTTTTATAATGCTTTATAAACTCGTATTAGTTAGCATTTAGCAATGTTTTAAAAATATTTTATAATGCTTTATAAATTGGTATGAAATGAATTTTAAAGATTTTTTAATTATTTTAAAAAAATTTGCACTTTTAATAGAGATGTGTAACCATCAGGCCACACAACCATTCGTTTATTATGCAAAATTTATTTCTAAATATCTACAAATGTAACATTGTTGTGGTTAAAATCAAAGCCTAAATACAAGCTTGAAAAAAATCCAAAAAAATCTCGTATATGCTACTTTATATTAACAATATTAAGACCAACCCCAATGCAGATCTGCAAGGGTCTAATAACAAGGTCTTAGTAATATAATTACATTAAAATATTATGTAGAGTGTCTAATATTTTAGACAAGGGTCTAAAATAGGATCTTTTTTTTTGATTTAAGAACACACAGCTGGCAATATATGAATGGAAAAAAAAATTTAATACATGAAATGAAAAGAAAAAAACAAAATCTACCAAATATTAATATTTAATCATTAAGACCCCTATACTAATGGGGTTACCATTGGGGTTGCTCTAAGGCTTAATTATGTTTATCGAAGATGATGAATTATTCCTTTTAAAAAAGTTTTATAATGCTTTATAAACTCGTATTAGTTAGCATTTAGCAATCTTATATTGCATTATATTGCAAAAACATGTCTCAGGGTAAGCTACGTTTTGTCCCTTTTCTATAGAAGTTTTTGATCCATCACTAATAATTGAAAACAAATTGTGTAAGCTCAGTGTCAGACCGAGAGGAGCTCTTTGGGAGGCTGTGGACCTAGTGCCAGGACAAATTGAAAACAAATTTTTGATCCGTCACTGATATTTATATTGCTTTATAAACTCTTATAAAATAAATTTAAAAGATGTTTAAATCATTTTAAAAAATTTTACAGAATCTAATCCCAAGCATCTGGATTCTTTTTTAGTAGTTATATACCTTTGCAAGTTCCGTAGTCACTAGTTTGATTATTTAATTTATTTAGTTTTTATAAAGATTTAAAAAGGAGTTTTAAACCCTTATAAATGAGTAATACATCATTTTAACAAAATTAGCTCAGTGAATCACTCACGTAAATCTCATTTATATCATATTTTGATTGTGAATTCTGAAGGACTCCATCAGACTCATGTAAAGAAGCCAGCCTTGGCATATTTGTCCTCCACCCCATGTGCAGTGGCATGACATGTGCCAGATATGACCTTCTCCCAATCAAATTTGGGTTTGGTTGTTATCTCGCCATGACCATGTTGCTATTGGAGTATGTCTCACAGCAACTTTGTTGTATGTGTGTTTTTCAAGGCAGACATGGAGGGAGAACTGCATAAGAGAAATGATCATAGAACTTGTGCAGATGTTCCTTGTTTTACGGACTCAGATCTGAATAGTTAATCTCCATTTGGCTACACAAAATTGAATAAAAACCGACTTTAGATTTTGAATAAGAAGCAATCTCGAGCTGATTGTTGGGGAGGTAAGGAACAAACAACCCTTGCAATGGGGAGCAGCCTCAGCTTCCTTCCAAGATAAAAACTTGTATTTGAAAGAATCTGATACACACCAAACAAAAAAGCAAATTACTCAAGAATCATTAGCGCAAGTGAAAAATGCTAGAAAGATGATTTGAAAATCATAGTTGAAAGAAAATGCAGAACGAAAGAAAGCAAAACAGGTTTGGGTTTTATCCTTAGTGATTGGCTTGTCACGCGTCTCATTGATGCACATGTGAACATAATAAATTTTATTAAGCAAGAATCACACTTAATGAAGAACACTATGTATGACAGAGTAGTAAGATGATCTGATCTTACTACACAAGAATCAGCCTCCATCAGTTTTGAAGGCTCGTTAAGCTCCACAAGAATCACCTATGGTAAACCAAACCAAAAACCATTTGTCATGACTCATGAGCCTCCCACATAGGTTCACAAGAGTTGAAAGATAAAGTTCATATATAGATAAAGTATGTTTACCGAATGAGAGAACCATGGCCATGTCACTGTATATGACCGTTGGTTCTCTATGAGCCATTATCATCACCATGTAATCTGCAAACTCATCTCTTATGATTTTCTGGATGACTGAATCAGTATTAATCCAACCACGCCAGTTCCAACATCAGGCTCTTTCAAATCTGCACCTTCAGAACCAATTGCAAGAAATTAGAAGCAAACTCTATAACCTTCAATACGATATCTTTCGAGAGAGATTCGAGAACACTGTCATTGATTTACCTTCGATCTCCCTGAAATCATTAATGATCCCAGGAATCATATCTTCATCACCTTTCCTGAGATCTGGGGGCCTCTTGGTCGCTTCAGAGAAATTGTGGAACCTGGCCTGCGCCTCAGCGCGATTACGCAGAGCCAATCAGAGCGATCTCCTGGGCTTATGAATCGAATCCTGGTCCGCATCTGGGTCGGATCCACAAATATTTGAGATTTGGCTCTGGGAAAGGTCGATGAACTTGGTGCAAACCTGTATAGACTCCTCCCACTCTTCCCAGAGAAGAAGCTCTGTGGCTTTGGATCTCCGGCTCTGCAACAACTCTGATGGTCCTTGTATATCTTCATGTTTCTCAATTTTATCACAGGTCGTGGTTGATCGGAATTAAAATCTAGATCGACTTGTCCATTCCGTTGTCTTCTTCCTCCTCCGTTTCCGGCGTGATTAGAAGATTTCTAGTATCTAATTAGATTTTATTAAGGGTATAAATACACCAATTAATTGATATTAATTTTGAAAGACTTTCTGTTAATGGTACTTTTGAAAATTGTATTTTTCAAAATTGTATTTCTCAAAATTTCCCATATCAATTTAATCTCTTTTACATAAATATATTTTCTTTGTTAAATTTTTTTTTACATTAATTTTTATCTTAATTATAATGCTATTTTGACATGCTATAACCAGGTATTCTATATTTTATATGCACTTCTTTTAAAAGCTTATACCATCATTTGTTTTTTAAAATTAATTCTTTTATGTTGATTTCCAAAATATTAGCCTAAATATCAAGCTAGGTTTTCTTTATACAAATTTTTTCTTTGATAATTTACCTCTCTTGATATTGATTTCTATTTATTTTAACACATAATTATTTTGAAAATATTGATATTTTTGAAGACATAACTTCATTTTTTGTTTTTTTGTTAGTTAAATATTTTAATATTAATTTTTAAGTAGTTAGTTAGGTATCAAGTCAATTTATTTTTAGATGATTTTTTAAAAATTTAACATTTTCTAAAACTTAATTTTCATTTTATTTTTCTTTGTTAATTAATTTCTCAATATTGATTTCTTAATATTTAAATTTATAATGATTAATATCTTGGCTGCGTCTGGTTTAAAAACAAACAAAAAAATACTACACAAGTAATTTTACATTCGAAATATAACAACTAATCTATATATAGTTACTACTTATAACTTAGCCAACATGAACAGCACATGAGTAACATATTCTATAATTTCCTTTAAATAGTAAAGTATGATAAAGTTATGAATCAAATTCAAATTGGAATATATCTAGATAAACTATTCAAATTAAATCATGAATAAACCACACAAAAGATAAAAACAGTAATAATGTGAAGACTCCACACTATCTTACATGTTTAAAAATAAAAACTATCAAATAGTTGATTGCAAATAGAACAGATCTTATAAATTGAATTAAGATATAACTTAAAATTCATAGAAGATCTGGTAGAGAATCAAGAAGCAGCTTTACATGATTATTGTAGCATCCTAACAAAAGTAAATCTGAAGCAACATAAATCATATATTATATATATATAGGTACATAACATCATTGAGATATTTAATCAAAAACTAAATATTTGAACATATAAATCTTAAAAAAGAAGAATTATAGAAATCCTAAGGACACAAAACAAAACACCAAAAAATTAGTAAAGAAATTATTCTCTAAATCAAACGTATGCATGTCGAAGTTGGATAATTTGTTAGATGTTATAACTATGATTTGACTTAATAAGATTTATAATTTTATAATCAAAAGATAGGTAAAACTACATATTATGTTTTAATTTTTTATATAAAAATAAAATTTTATAAATATATTATAGTTTTGATAATTAAAAAGATATTAATCAAAAAAAAATTTTAACCAAATTATTAATACAGATTTGTGCGTAGTGCAAGTTATAAATAAGCCTAGTAGAGATATAATTTAACAAGACATACAGTAGAACCTCTATAAATTAATATTCGATAAATTAATAATCACTATAAATTAATAATTTTTGTCGGTCCCAAGTCGGGCCAGTGTTAAAATTGACAAAATTCGGTAAGATAATAAGATAATACTTTTTTGAAAGTTCTATATAAAAATATAGTCCCAACAATAATAAAAATTAATAACTATACATTTAGGCATACATTAATAATATAATATAGTAAACTATGATAATATTGTTGTCTCAAGTTTATAAAATTGGTTTGATTTATCTTCTAAATTCATTATTATGACATTTTTTGAATGAATTTTACAATGTTGAAAATATTAATTTTGTTTTTTTGATAAATATCAAAAATTCAAACTAAAAATATCTCTATAAATTAATAAAATATTAATTTATTGATAAATTAATAATTATTAATTTATCGATTAATTAATAACTCTATAAATTAATAAAATTTGAGAGTCCCAATATTATTAATTTATAAAGATTTTTCTGTATCTAAGATAGGAAAAGAATACATACTTTTTGAGCCTCTGAAGCAAAGTAATTTAATTCTTTCCTTTCTCTGTAATATTTTCATTCCATAATTTATTACAAATAGAGAAAAAGTTCCAATGGTGTGGGGCAAAATGGAATCCTTGTCGACAAAAGAAAATAGAAAAGTTCTTCGAGATGACCAATAAATAATAAAAAAAGGAATTGAGTTATGAATGAGAAAAAGGAAAACAAAAAAAGCAAAAATGAGGTGTGCGAAGAAAATATCATGCATATACAATGTCCTGAACTGAAGTTATAAGGTTCATGCAAATATATACCTCACGCTCATTTTGATGTTACTTTTCTATATATTCATAATAACGGAACATATACATTAAAAATAAACAAAATTAACCAAAAACAAAAGACAGAGATGAGGAGAAGAAATATATGGGCATTATTAATGTATGTAATAGTGATGATGATAATTGTAGTAGAATCAAGTCTTCACAGAGTAGGCGGCGGAAGATACAACTGGAATCCAGATGTTAACTTCTCCGATTGGGCAAACCAGCAACGATTCTATTCCGGCGATTGGCTCTGTTAGTAATTTCTTCATTCGTTCTTTTTGCACTTAACTTTTTTTGTAGGACATATCACAGAAAAGCTTCACAGTTTTTTTTTTTTTAAATAGATCAATGATTTCAAAATCCAAAAAGAAAACAAACCATTTTCAGATTTAAAGTTTAGTTTTTGGGGGTTAGTAATTTATTTCTTAGGTTATTGATCAAAATTTTGGGCTTGGAGTTTAGTTTTGGGTTGAGTTTTAGACTAATATATATATAAAAAATTGAAATATGGTTTATTTTGGTATAAATGAATTCTTCTTTAATATTTTTGCCACTTACTATTTTTTATAAATATATTAAAAGCTATGAGAAAAGACTATAGAAAGATGTTCATGTAAAAAAATGACAACTCTTATAAAATAAAATAAAAATTATATTTTTCAGATGTAAGTCTTTATTTTTTTATTTTTTTCTTTGGTCAAACGATCTAAGTCTTTATTAAAGGTTAGTTTTTAGGATTTAGAATTGAACCTTCTTTTTTTTAGTTGTTAGGAATTTGGAATTTTGTAATTGTTGTCGAAATATATATATATATATATATATATATATATATATATATATTTGAATTTCTTCTAAAATATGGTCTACTTTGTTCATATTGATATGATACTCTTTCATATTGGAATTTTGTAATTGTTGTCGAAGTATCATATCTATTCTAATCTAATTTCTTATCTAAAACTGACAGTTTTTGGGTTTGATCGTACCCATCACAACATCCTCCAAGTAAACAAGAGTAGCTACGAGCAATGCATCGACACCGATTTCATATTCAACGTGACACGTGGAGGACGAGATGTATTTCAACTTCTTCAACCAAAGCCTTATTACTTCATTTGCGGTAAAGGTTATTGCCTCAAAGGCATGAAACTCGCCGTTAACGTCCTTCCTCAACCCCCGCCTTCAACTCCAACCGTTCCCATCACTCCCACCTCAACCGCCACTGCTCTCATAATACCCTCAAGCGCCTTAATTGCTGTTGCTGCCGCCATTCTCACGGCCTTCGCCTTTAAACCTTCATACGTATACTAAGGCTATGTCTGTATGTCATTTCTTTGTTAATTTGTGTTTTGGTGTTATCAGTTGAAACCAAAGGATCACTTCCTAAATTAGAAATATTCACCAAATTACGTCGTTCACTTGAGTATTTGTTCAATTCGGATAAAGAGATGCGATCCGAACCAAACCAAATTACAATAATTGATCCTAATTATATTCCGAAAAATCAAAACCAATACAGAAAACCCCCCGATCAAAAACAGATTTTTCAACAGGATTTATTACACCAACATACTTTTAAGGTTCTAAACACTTTTGTATGAGATTTCCATTAAACTTTATGCAATTTGTTGTTTTTTTGTCTGAAATTATTTTATTTTATCAATCTATCATGATTATGCAAAGTAGCATCATGGGTATTTGTGTTCTCATGTTGATTAGTGAGTAATCTATTGAGGATATTTTGAGTATGATAGACTAGGATAGCTCTTGGTTAGCTAATAGTGTTTAGGGTTTAGATTATATAAAATTATTGCTTTTTATATATTTCTAATGCTAGATTAGCCTAAACCAGGTTGATCTACAACTTAGCTAATTGTATATCTCGATAAAATGCCGGAATGAATCTTTTGCATGCCTAGCCAATGTAAATTGATGATTAATGTGTTTAGTGGCTATTTAGACTTGTCATTAGAGTATGCTTATTTTTTTATTGCAAACAGAAGTCTATAATAATTGGATGATTAGCATATGATTAGTGCCATAGAAGTTAATTAGTCTAAATTAGTGATCTAAGTTCTAAAGATTAACACTGATTGATTGCATGAACCTTTACCAGAAAATTCGTTTTTTTAATATTGATTTATTTTGTTTAGTGTTTTATCTTTTATTTAGTGATTTGTTTGAGATTGCTGAGTATATCTATAGATCATTAGTAAAACCAAACCACTATTCACTTCTTTTGAATAAGTTTCACTATAAGTAAGAAGAATTATTATGTTTCAGATTCGGTGGGGCTCAAAAACCACCCCGTAAAATAATATAATAAATATAATTTCATAGAATTGTTAAGGTGCAAGAATTTATTTAAGGTAAAACAACACATCTGAGAGCTGCACTGTTGTTTCTCTTTTTTTTTTGAAACAAAACAAAATCTGTTTCTTTTATGCAAGACATTTATGTTTTTTTTTTTGGTTATGAAAAATTGTTATCCATAGAACTGGAAGGTACAAACGGTAAACTATCTCTTTTTTTTTATATGGATTCTTTTTAATGTTAAGATTGTCTTTTCAAATAATTTTCTGATAGGCATTAAAGCTGTGTTAGAAGGACAACCAGTCTTTATGACTTTTATCTACAGTGATCCGGTCATTAAGTGTTGCATACTAGTTTGAGAACAGATTACTAGGATAAGTACCATGAGATCGGGTCTGTTGTTCATGGGTGGGTATTTTAACGAGATTACATGCCTCCATAAGAAAAGAGGAGGCCGGAAACTCTCAAGTGCATCCTTCATACCATTTAATACAATGCTTGAAGACACTGGAATGATGGAATTTCCGACAAAAGGTAACTTTTTTTCTTGGGTTGAAAATAAAAGGAGTGATAGAGTCCGATGTAAGCTTGATAGAGCAATTGGCAATAAAGACTGGCCCCAGAATGTTTTCCACACATCTGTGGAGTATCAGAAATTATGGGGTTATGATCATCGTTTGGTTCTCGCTCGTATTCAATCGCAAAAGGGCAGAGTTAAGAGGAATTTTAATTTTGATAAGAGATGGCTAGGAAAGGAAGGCTTAGTAAAGACGATCATAGAGAATTTGGGAGCCTTCGATGTCTCAAGAACACCGGACCTGCATGCCAATACTGGGAATTGTCAAAAACCATTATCGGCATGGAGATGCCTTAACCTGCCTAATGAGATTAAGAAGATTGAGGAGATAAAACAGAAGATGGAAATCGCACAACAATATAATTCTGTATCAAATGACGAGCTTATAACTTTGAAGTGAAACCTTTGTGCAGCCTTCCAGGAAGAAGAACTATAATTAAAACATTAAATCCAGGCAAATTGGCTAAAGGAAGGAGATAGGAACACACAAAAATTTCATGGCACGACTAAGCAAAAAAAGAGCCAGAAACTAGATCACCAAACTCAGAAATGCATCTGGAGTATGGGTAGAGAACAAGCAGGGGCTGGAAAAAGTGGCTGCTGACTATTTCCAAGATCTGTTCATGACATCCCATCCCCAAGACTTTGGTGAAGCTCTCCGGTATGTTACCGCGCAAGTAACTCTAACTATAAATGCTGCACTTACAAGTTACCCCACTGATGAAGAAATAAAGAACACACTCTTTGATATAGATCCGGAGAAACCTCTGAGACCAGATGGGATGACCAGTCTCTTTTATCAGAGGTTGTGAGAAGAAACTTCAAATGATATCATTAGAGTGGTTAGAGATTTTTTTGTCAAAGACGTTTTTGACTCGAGATTGAATCAGACAAGCATTTGTCTGGTCCCGAATACGGCAAGACCAACAGAAATAGCAGTTTAGACCTATAAGTCTTTGTAACATCTGTTATAAGATAATCTCAAAGATCTTAAGCAAGAGGCTCAAAAAATTCCTCCTAAAGCTTATCTTGGAGACTCAATCAGCTTTTGTAGCTCGACGCCTCATTACAGATAATATCTTAGTGGCACAAGAGGTATTTTATGCGTTGAGAACAAATCTGATCTGCATGTTGAAATTTGTAGCCATTAAAACAGATATAAGTAAAGCTTATTATCGTTTTGGGTGGAGCTTTATTAAAGCATTGATGTTAAAGATGGGTTTTACATTGAAATAGGTCTCATGGATCAAATGGTGCATCTCATCAGTGTCATATCAAGCCCTTCTCAATAGAGAAGCGTAGGGTAACATTCGGCCTTCAAGAGGCCTGTGCCAGGGGGACTGATAGGCTCAAAATTTCACCTAAATAAACTACTGCGAGTGCACAGAAAAGTTGTTGTAATATAAATGACATCAAAATCCCAAGAGACTTAAGTTGTCACACAACAGATTCTAGATTCGAACTAAAATCTCAAGAGACTTAAGTTGTCACACAACAGATTCTTAGACCTCTTGATCGATTCAGAAGATATTATGTGTATTAAGAGTATCAGACTAAGTAGGGCATACAAACCAGATAGATATGTGTGGGCTTATTCAAAATCTTGGATGCACTCTCTAATAACTGCTAATGAGCTGGCAGTTTAAATGAGAGATGTGAAAAGAATGCCAGCAGTCATTGAACCGATTTTCACTCCCTTAGAGCGAAACATATGGGCCTTAAAGACTCTCCTGGAAGTTAAAGCACTTCATGTGGCAGGCCCTCTGAGGATGTATGGCTACAAATAGCCAACTAACATACCACCGCTGTGGGACATATAGCTGATGTCAAAGTTGTGGATCTGAGGTAGAGTCGATCAATCATGTACTCTTTAAATGCCCCTCCCCCCCGAAACGCTACAAACGTGGGCATTTAGTGCAATCCCATCTCCTCCGGGTATTTTCTCGAGTACGGTATCTCCCAAAACTTCGCACATCTCTTGTTCCGGGTTTCAGAACAAAGAGTAGTTGCAAAGTCTATGGAGGCATTTCCCTGAATTTTATAGTATACATGGAAGGCTAGGAATGAGAAGGTCTTTAATAACAAAGATATCTTGCAACCAGATACGCTGGAGATAGCTTTGCAAGAAGCGGATTCCTAAAAAGTCGCACATAAAGTCGCAGAGGTGGGGGGGGAAGCACCAAATACCTTCCAAGCACCAAGCTCGCAAGTAGAAAGGATAGCGACAACCCCTATGGAAGATAGACTTATACAATCGAGATTCCAAGTGAATGTTTCTTGGGTTAGGGATGGCAACATAGTAGGCAAGGGTCTCGTTCTTGAATTGAAAGACGATAATCGCTTATTTGGTCTTGCAGCGAGAGAGCAAGTTATCTCACCTTGACATGCTAAATTTATAGCTTTTTTATGGGCTATAAGAGTTTTGCATCCTATGCAGATCCCCGATTTATCAGTAGATAGTTGCACACAAAAGTTTATTTATCTAACTCGATTTAAAAAAAAATCACATTTGTCTTGATCCTAAATTGGACTCAAAACAAAAATCAATAGCACAAAGAGTTCTCAACAAAGGTGTATGTCAAAACAAGAAAAATTAATCTATACTTGTCTACTAGGTGATGGCCTGCACCGTATGAAGACTATAAAATATTTTATATGTTCAACTATAATTAATATAGTAGTTTTATTTGTATATGATTTATTTTGTATTAATAATAAAATAATAAATATTTAATAATAAAAATAATGATAAATTAAATATAAAATATTATATATTTCAACAGAAAACGAAAAAAAAAATATTAACTAAGATTTAAAAATATTTCTTTCGATAAAAAATATAAATACGATAACTAAACAAACGAAAAAACATTAAAATATATAATACTTTATTTAATTTTTATTTTTGGCCCGCACACATGTGCAAATAGAATTTTTTTATAGACATAATTAGTTGTAATATTTAAGTATTGATAAATTTTCTTATACATTATGTAAATGTTATGTTTTTATACATATAAAATTTTAGTGTTCAACAACAATCACACAAGCGTTTCATATTGTTTTGTGTCTTTTAAAAACTTTTTACTTTTTCTAGCATTTATAGTAACATATAATTGCATATGTAAAAGTTATATTAAATAATAATTAAATTCTTATAATATATTTTGAATATTATCTATATAAAATTTATTTTTCTCTTTACATAATATAATCTTGCCAATATATATATTTTAAGTATACATTTTTCCTTGACCTATTGCTAATTAAACCAAAATGAATTTTACTATATTTATTTATTTTAAGAGCAGGTAGATGGTTGGCCGCACATTCGTGCGTACCAAATGATTTCTTTTTTTTTTAAATATAAATTGTCTAACAACTAAAATTAAAATTAGAGTGTAATCGAAGTTAACAAAATGTATGCACGGCAAGTTTGCATGCGAGTTTGATTTTTGCACAATTAATATTTATATCTACATGCATATTTCTAAGGAAATTGAAGTATAGCTTTTATGTGTTAAAAGAAAATAACAAAGTATATCTTTTGTATTATATATTTTTATAATGTATGGTTGATTTTTTTTAAAAAAATAATAAGTATATTTATACATGTAGGTATGAGTTAGAAATAAGTGAATTGTAATATTTAGATGTTGGTAAGTTTTTTCTGGTATTTTCTGCAAACATTATGTTTTTACAAGATGCAATTATTAGCGTTTAATAACAATCACAAAAACTATTTCTATCGTTTTGTATTTAATAAAAGTTTCTTATTTTCAGTGTTTGATAATATATGGTTTCTCAATAAAAATATAATAAATATGTATTATAAAATTTATGAAATCATATTTTATAAAATTCTCCGGTAGCTCTCCGCTCATCTCTTCGTCAAAATTTTATAATCCTCAATCGCTCGCTTCCACAAACTCTCTGTAACCGAATCTTTTAAATCAATCAGATCTAAACTTATATATGTATGATTTAAGGTGTAAAATAATATATTTAATATTTGATTATTATTAAAAATTAAGAGTTGATTTGTTCCTAACTTTAATATATTTGTTAATATAAAATATAATGGATTACAACATATACAAAACTTGATTCATGAAATAATATTTTAATATCTTAGAAAAAATATATGCATGAAATAATTAATATGTGTAAGATAATATTTTAAATATTTAAAATAAAAAGGTAAAAGCGATCAAATTATTCTTATTTATTTTTTTGTCTTCTTTGACTCATACTTTTTTTTCTTAACATTTAACAATATATTAAACATAAAAATTATCTCTAATGTATTTTTCTATTTTTTTCTCTAAAATATAAGTGGACTTCTCTCCAACCTATTTCTATTTTACAGGAAAAAAAAAATATTGTTATTTTTTCCTCTATAATTGGAGAAAAAATAACTTTTCTTTTTCTTCTAAATTAGAAGATTTAAAATAAAAGTGGGTTGGAGATACTTTAAACCAAAAATATAATCTGAGATTTTTACATAAAACCAAAGTCTTAAAGATTCATTTTTACTTTTAATTCTACTTTTTATTCATATATACATTATCATAATAAAACAAGTTAACTAAGAGGATACTTATAATTTATTTTTTTATATCATTTATAATTTTGAATTCTTACTATATAATGTGAATTTATTCATATATAATATAAACTATTTTTTCTTATTTAAAAATAAGATTTATTTAGTTTTAACTTAACCAATCAAAATATTTTGTTTATGTTAAAAAATCTACCATGTCACTTTTATGAGGCGATATTGTTTTCCATTAACTTTTCTAAAAATGTTTGACATTTTTTTAGTAAACATACTTCTCAAATAATATTTATGATGCTTCGTGGAAACAAAGAAAAGTTATCAAGTCTTGGGCTAATCATCTTTCAATAACAGAATCAAATATTGTACAAGCTGCTTACATATTTCTTACAAAGACGAAATAATGTAGAAGGCCCACACTATTTGAAGTCTTGGATACTCGGTGAAGCCTCAAGTAAAACTTCCTGGTTCTATAAACAACGCCCAAACTCAAAACCATAGCCATTAAACAGACCACAGACATAAGTCCGCACGTGACTGAATAACACACTGAGCCCGTGCAGACAAGCGACTCGGTCTCCATGGTGGTTCCGGCTTGCTTTCTAGCGTAATAGTCGTAGATATTACTAGCGATCACACCTGAGAACACAAACGACCCGATAGGCAAAGCCGTAATCTGGAAATTGGAGAGAGAACCAAAGCTCTTCAGTCCAAAAATGTCGGAAACCGAAGCAGGAGCGATCGCCCAGTGAGCGCCATAACCCATTCCTATTACAATAGTCACTACATAGATCTTCCAAGGCAAATCTATCGCATAGTAGATGAGCCCTAAAGACATTATGGCTTGAACCACGGACATTGCCATTATTCTTGGAAGTGAGAGTTTTCTTGTGAATGGCAAGAAAGAGATTAAAGATGTCAGTTTTATAAAACATTGACTGTGAAAGTGAAATGGTTTTAGGGTTTTGTACCTTATGATTAGCTCTGAGAAGTAGCCACCAGCGACACGGCCAAGGAAATTGGAGATGCTGATCAGTGAGACGAAGACTTTGGTGTTGTTATACCCAAGAGAATAACAAATCTGACCAAGATTGTCTATAACAGTAATCCCCGAGCCGACAACTAGAACCAGAGACATAAATGTAAGCCAGAAGTCAGCTTGTCTCAAAGCCTGTAACAATGTGAAATCTTCCCCAATACATAGCACTCTTCTCTTTTCCAGCTGTACGTCGCTCCTCTCAATCAGAGTTTTAACTTCACTCAGATCCACATTAGAGGTTCCTTCTTCAGGCTTCATTGAGGTTATACTAATACTATTACTAGTATTACCAGAGATGAAAACCGATAAAAAAGGGACAAGAACAGGAATAACCATGAAAATGACAAGGATCGCTCCGGATGTTGTGATAATCGTTTCACTTATATCAACAAGACTTTGAAGTACCAATATTCCTAATAGATATACAGCAAGGATAACACAGAAACCATAAATAGTCATGAATCGTAAATCATCAGACCGCAAGTTCATTCTGGGACTTCTTTCCACGGGTCTAACAATGAAAAGCAGAGCAAGAACAACGACTGGTGGTCCTAGGGCAACCATGAGAATAACCGAAGAATCATGAGAGGGATTGAACATCAGATAAACCTGAGTCAAGATTGCTCCGCTTAAGCCAGAAAACCCTTTCAGGATTCCAACAACAGGACCACGGCTCTCCGGAAAGTTGTGAATGCATGACACAAGAGATGCTGTATTGTAGTAGGTTTCGCCATTTGTCCCCACGAAAATAGCTACAAACAACTGAATGAACAAAACTGTTACTTTCTATAGAATAAAAAACAAGAATCAGGGAAAAAAAAAAGCATGTGCTTGGTAAATCAAGCAAACAATATCTAAGCAAAAATATTTATGTAAGAAACAAAACCTAAAAGTTTTACAAAATGGAAACGTATTATATAACTTTCTTTTATCTACGATCATCAACTGTCATATGGGAAATTCACTCAGAGTAACAAATCTAATTTGAAGCCTCTGCTTAGTGAAACTACTAAGATAGTTGATCCCAAAGATCCTTCTCTAAGTATAAATTTCAGTGACTAATTAGACAAAATCTAAAAGAGAATCAAAATGTTTTCCATTTCTGCCTCATATTTGTCACAGTAAACTATAATGGTCTATGTTCTTTTAGAGAGATATCAGTGATATACTCAGCTGTCAAACTAGAGTATAAAGTTGTTTCCAATATCAAATTTATATCATTACATTTAAAACTCTACTGGATTGCAAAGCAGCAGCTTGAGAGTCAGTTTGTACAAATGCAAACTATATTATTTCATTTCGTGTAAAGCTGCATTGATAAATATTCTTCAAAACTTATATTAAGTGAAGCTCAACATTTGCGTGTGCTCTTAAATCTCTCCTTAACATTCAGAAAAATTGACATGTAAAGTATTCTGCTAGCAAATCAACGTAAAAGACATGTAGATCTTAATTTGATCAAGAAAATTATGCATGATACAAACAGAAGCAAGTGGTAGAATACAATTATCATTCATAGCACAACACATTTATTTAAGTGACATAGCTGTTTTCCCATTAAATCTTAATCACTAAAAGCTTGATTGGTAAGTGCTGTAGAATCTGTACACAGTCATAATTTTTTTAAAGCACTAAAGTTTTCCCAATCATACTTTACACAGATTTTTTAAAGCGACAGATCTTTTTTTCCTTTTTTTATTCTTTTGGTTATAGAAAGCAAAATATGTAAAGGAAAAAATTTGGACTTTGAAAAATTAATAATCTTACAGCACTAAAATCTACAGAATTAAAATCTACAGCCAAAGCAACAACTTACAAATTTATTTCTACAGCAAAAAAATGAAAGCTACAGCAGTAACCAATCAAGCCCTAAGTTGAAGGAATTAAACGTGCTTTACACTTCCACTTATGGAAGGTCAAGTATGTAAAACTTTTAGGAAATAATATCCCAAGCCTTCATCTTCAATCACACTATAAATATTAGGAAAAAGTTTCATATTTCCACTCTTATTAATGATTATTTTTATTCGACGATAAACTCTAATTGCCTATGTTCTTAAAACTCCCCTATTTTAAGTTCATGAAGCCGACAAAAAAAAATTTGTGATATACTCGATTAGCAGTTTAAAGCATGACAAATGTATTAGATTCCATTTAAGTTACCAAATCTCGTATTGAACTCACTAAAACAATACCTAAAATCCGAGTCACAGACCACTAAACTCCAATCAGGTACATTTCTACATTGTAATACTCTCCTTGAAAGGATTTAAGAATATCAAATTACAAAATTTGTATTATTAGATCCAAACCTAGTAAAAAATAATCAAGCTAAATAGTCACTGATACTATAGGTAATGTTCTAAGCATCGATAAGATACTTAAGCCAATATTGTACTTGTCACAATCTTGTTGAAAATAAGGAAACAGAAACTATCATACAATCCTAAATATGACTAAACAAGAAATTTATACCAAAATTCAGAAAGAAATGACATTACGAAGCCAAGAAATTGCAGAGGTATATATATACTACATATATGTTTGTATGTAAATATGAATTGAGAAGTCATCTCACCATCCAGAGGGGTAAATTAGGTAAAAGACCAGTGACGACGAGCCAGAGAAAACCGTAGCCGACAAGGTTCTGAGCGGCACCGACGAGAAGAACCACCCATGACGGTGAGACCTCCGACAGTGCACCGGAGACGAAACCGATTGCGTCACCGAGGTTTTTTGCAACGCCGAGGAGAGCGATCTGTTTCTGGTTGTAACCTAGGACACTTTTGATCGCCGGCGACATAGAGCCGCCGAATAGATAACCGACGCCGGCGACAGATTGGATCCACATGGCACAGACGAAGACTAGCCATCGGTCGTTGAATAGAATCACGAGTTTGTGAGGCCACAAAGGCATAGTCAATGCCTCGAATGGTTGTTTTATTTTCTGTTTCCATTAACCATTTGGGAAATAAATAAATAAAAGCATTTAACAAAACCGGTTGGAATAAAAAGTGGATCAATGGCTGAAATGACATTATTTCTCAAATTTCAATCTCATATATCATTGTTATAATAATTAATTTATTTTCAATTTATTTTTAATATAAAAAATATGCAAATCCTATTTTGTCATTCAAAAAACTTTAGAATTACAAATTTAATTTGGGTTTTGCCCACCTAAATCCAGATCCAATAAAAATACCACAGTTTTTTAAATTTACAGAAACTGTAAATTGATTCATTCATCTTCTTTCTCTCCGATCCCCTATCTCTGTGCCACACCGTGAGGAAACCGTAAGACTATAAACTGAGTTTGATTCGTCTTCTCTTTCCTCCTCCTTTTTTCATCTCGAATTTTATACTTCTTTTCTTATCTCTCTTTTCGTCCATTTCCGTCAACCCTTTTTCTTTCTTCTTTTGATTTGATTTATCAGATATGGTTAAAGTGAAATTTGCTAACAGGGTATACGAAACCAGAAGAGGTCAACGAAATGAAAACTTGGCAAGAGAATCAGAACCTGTCGAAGTTGTTCCTTCATCAGAAGCAGGAACCGCTCCTCCACTTCCTCCTGAAACTGACACAGCAGCAACGGGAACGAATGCTCCAACACCAATAAAAGGAACCGAAGAAGTGGAGAAAGTTCCCGAAGTGGTGCCTTCTGCAATCAATTCCGAGAATCCCCCCACTCCAGCAAACACAGAAGCGCCAATGGAAGAAAGAACGGAAGAAGTGGATAAAGTTCCCGAAATGGTGCCTCCTGCAATCAATTCTGAGAATCCTCCGGCTCCAGCAACCACAAAAGCGCTAATGGAAGAAGGAACAGAAGAAGTGGAGAAAGTTCCCGAAGTGGTGCCTCCTGCAATCAATTCTGAGAATCCCCTGGAAGTGGTGTCTCCTTCAATCAATCGGATGAATCCCGAAATAAGTGAAGAGAGTCCCTCAACTCCAGAACCAGAAAAAACCCAAACTCCAGATGAAGGGAGGGAATCCACAAAAAATGATGATGAAGAAAATGTGTCTGGTCAAGAAGAAGAGCAAGAGAATGTGGAGCAGAATGTGTCTGGCCAAGAAGAAGAGCAAGAGAATCTGGAGCAAAATGTGTCTGGTCAACAAGAAGAGGAAGATAATGTGTTAGACAAAGAACAAGAGGAAGAGAATGTGTCTCGCCACGAACAAGAGGAAGAGAATGTGTCTGGCTATGAACAACAAGAAGAGAATGTGTCTGGCCAGGTATCGTTTACGGATACATATACTTATGCATTTGCTTACTTTTAGACTGAAAATTGAGAATGATTTTGTGTTGTGTGTACTTTATTGGACAAATGGTAAAAGTCAGTAGTATTTTGGTGTTCAACTATGTTTTCTAGGTTCAACTATATTAGTATCTTCAATGAATGTTAGGTTCAACTGCACTTGCTAGGTTTAACTAAGTATTGCTAGGTCCAACTATGTAGACTTTGTTCAACTAGATGTTTAAAGTTTAACTACGCTTGATTGGTTAAGTTCAACTATGTTTTCTAGGTTCAACTACATTAGTGTCTTCAATGTATGTTAGGTTCAACTGCGCTTGCTAGGTTCAACTAGGTATTGCTAGGTTCAACTACGAATTTCTAGGTTCAACTATGTAGGCTTTGTTCAACTAGATGTTTGAAGTTCAAATACGCTTGATTGGTTAAGTTCAACTATGTTTTCTAGGTTCTACTACATTAGTATCTCTAATGTATGTTAGGTTCAACTGCGCTTGCTTGGTTCAACTATGTTCAGCTTGCTTGGTTCAACTACGTATATTAGGTTCAACTAGGTTCGAGTAAGTATTTATTTATTTTAACGGTTTATTAAATCTGAGTTTGAATTCATAGGATAACGAGGATTATAGTACACCACTGCAACCAGAGAAGTTTTTTCGGTCCAGAGCAATATAACAAGGCTTGTAAGATAGGATCGAGGTGTAGTGTGAAGGATACAGTGAACATGATAAAGCAGTTTCCAACTGAATTGAAGTGGTTCACAGCTCACCCTCAGTTTAAGCATATTTTTCACATGGAGGAGGAGGCAAACCGAAAGCCTATGGGCATGTGGATGCTGCTACTTCATCAAGCTTGTATGGATTCAATGAATGAGCTATGGTTTGTGGTTAATGGAGTTCCTATTAGATATTCCATAAGAGAGCATGCTCTGTTATGTGGGTTGGACTGCCATGACTACCCGAGCAACTATGAAGATTAAAGGATAAGAAAAACGGGGATTTTAAGTTTGTGGAGAAGATTTTTGGAAGGAAAGTGAACATAACAATCGCAGATGTGGGAGAGAAACTCGAGTCATTGCGGAGCAGTGTGGACAAGAAGAAGATGGCTGTCCTGTATTTCTTATCCACTGTTTTGAAAGCAAAGTTTAAGGTTGCAGGAAACATAGAGCCGTTCTTTCTTAAGATTGTTGATGATTTGGGATTGTGTAAAACATTCCCATGGGGGCGTTACACATTTGATGATTGTATGGTTGAGGTGAGGGAGAAGATGAAGAAGTTCAAGAACGGCATCGTGAGAGACAAATATTCATGGATCTTTTCTGGTTTCATTCTTCCTTTGGAGGTAACCAACTCTTACCAATGGTTTCAAATTATTAGTTTGTAGAAAATAAGGTTGTGATATTGTAACTTTATGTGTAGGCTTTTGCATTTGAGTGTATTCCTGCGTTGGGACGCAAATTTTGACTAGATGTTGTTCCACCTGAGAAGGACTGTCCACGATTGTGTAAGCACAAGTTTGCCGAGGGTTCCATGAAAGGTTTTCCTTTGGAAGACATTAACGAGACCATTGGAAGAACTAGGGTGAGAATTGTGGACGGTTGTATTTGATGTATGTTTGGTTTTTAAATTTACAATTGTCTTGATTTTCATTATCTCAAATTCACAGGATATCATTAGCATTTTGGAACCTGACTCGGACGAGGAAGCTCTTATGGATCACATCGTAGAGCATGATTGTGATGATGGGATAGGCTTTATTGATCCAATCGTTGACTCCTAGAAAGGCCATCTAATTGCAAAAGGAAGGAAGATATGGTGGAGAGATTTGTATGAAACGGACTTGGCAGGTAGAGGTGGAACTGCGAATGTCCCTAGAGAAGAATCAAGAGAAGAACCAAGAGAAGAACGCAGAGAAGAACCTGACACCGTTACACCATTACTTCAACAGATGATCCAATCGGTGGCGACGATGGGGAATTTGGTAAAAGAACTTCAGGAAGTGGTTTTTGGTTTTGATGAGAGACTGAAAAATGTTGAAAGCTTTGTGATGGAACAGTGAAACAAAAGAAACACCAGCGAAGGTAATAAATTAGTTCTACTTTAATGGATCAATTGTTTTTTGATGTTGTTCATAAAAAAATGTTTATATTAGGAGGAAAAGCTGGAGATAAAGGGGATGAGGAGCATGGAGCCGATGAAGAGGGAGATAAAGAGGGGGAGCATGGAGCGGATGAAGAGGGAGATAAAGAGGGGGAGCATGGAGCAGATAAAGACGGAAATAAAGAGGGGGAGCATGGTGCGGATGAAGAGGAAGAAGGTGGAGATAAAGAGGAGGAGCCGAAAAAGAGCCGAAATTTTACTTTTACTTTTAATTTTACTCAATAATTCATTAAGCACAATATTGTAATTTTTTTCTTCTTATAATTGATTCAATGGCATTAAATTGATGAATGGCATAAGAGATCAATTTTTTCTAAAAAGTAGCATCTCAGCCTCACGCTCCATGGTGGAGCCTCGGCAGATCAATTGCTGAAATGCCATAATTTGGAGAAAAGAAATCTCATATGCCATCTTCTGTTTCATAATTTCTTTTTGATTTTCTTTTTAAAATAAAAAACAGGAAATACTTTATAAACCTTTAACATATTAGAGAAATTACATAACTCAACCAAAATAACCCACCCAAACCCACTATCCCGAACAAAAAATGGATCACAAAATGAATCTCTAAATTTTTCAATTCATCCTTTTATTCTTTCGTTGTCTTCTTCACCTGAGTAAGAGAGAGAAAATTTTCATTTTTATTAATTCCAAAAGGAGATGCTGCTAATCTAGATCGACAATTTATGTTTGATTCAGGTTGTTTTAGTAAAAAGAATGCTAAGTTTGGTCTCCATGAATCGATGAAAAGGTAAAAACTGTGTTATGTCTATGTGATCCAAGATTCGAATTTGTTCCCAGAAAGATGGTGATTCCAATTTCCAAATCGAAATTGGGGGATTCCAAATAGAAATCGGGTGCTGCATCTGTTGATGGGGTCTCTGTTCCGTTTTCAGTGCAAAAGTTTCGATGGTATACTCTATTTACTACGGTCTGAAGTCTCTGATTCATAGGCTCTCGTCTGCTGATGATGCTTCTTCTTTGGAGTTACCTTTACCCTGAAATGTATGAATTTGTTTAATCGCTCACAAAGAAATACCATTTTGGGAAAACAAAAATTTATTTTCTTATTCAGAAAAATCATTTTGCTAAACGTTTCCTGCTTGTTTGTTTGTTTTCGAAAAATCATTTATTATTTTTATTACCATGTTGTGATTTACTATTGAATATGTTGCGATTTGGTAGTTGATTCTTGTTGTTTAGTCGCTTAATCCTAAATATTTTTTTCTTAGGTATGAGCAAAACAAATCAAGAATGTCAAAAAAGAAGCTGGAGAGATCAGTTTAAAAAGAGACAGAAGAAAAAGACTCGCTAATACTATCACAATAAATTTGATTTACGAAAAGTTTTTTTTTCCATAAACAGCGTTTTGGAAGCTGTTATTATCAAGGAAGCTGCAAATTCTCAGGATGTGCTCTTTTTTAGTTTGTGATGTTTTGTCACAATAGGTATTTGTACAACTTAGGTATTTTAGGACAATTATAACAATTAGGTATAACTATGTGTT